GTGGCATGTTCAGGTTTCTAGTCTGTTTTCATAACAATATACAAGGCTGTTCTGTGAAGCAGCAGAGCAGATTAAAGATCACAGAAAATTGTTTCTGGCTTACTGCTTCTGGTTTTGCAGGCACTTGTGGAATTGCCAGGATACAAATTTCTTTGTTACCACATGGCCTTGGCATATGCTTGAAGATGGTAACATAATGTGCAGAGCTACTGCATGAGTTAAATTGAAAAAATAGCCCCCAGTATGTGGTTTGACTTAATAATACTCTAATCTGTAGGGCAGTGGATATCACATTTCAAATTGTTGAGACTTCACATTGTAATTCTGAAAATGGTTGGAATCACAGGTGTCTCAACCTGTTTTGACATTTCGGTCAATAGTAGGTTATTTTTTAAGCATGCTAAGGCCTATGCAGTAGTTAGTATCATTTTTATTGCTGTTCAAATGCTGGATATCATACAGATGAATTGGTGAAACAGGAAGCAGATTACTCCAGAGTCTATACAGGAATGTCACTGTATAGGAAAGGAGTCCTTAAAAATATATGCGGATTGTGGTAAAGTCAAGAGTGCACTATGGTATGGTATGGTACAAATCAAGCTCAGTAGACATCAGATCTGGTTCCATCATCTGTCTAGTTTTTGTTTCCCGTAACTATATATAGTTGCCTCAATATACATAGTGATTGACAAATATAGAATAATAAAAAGGATCTTTATATAATATCATAAGAACAGTCTGGCTCTACTTGCTTCTGAATCCCTTCCAGCAAGAAAGAAGAGAGATGCTTTTTTTAAATTTTTTTTTAATGCTGTTTCTATAGCACAGCCAAGTCTATGATTCCTTTGGTGGTCAGCTCTGGCACACAACATAAGCAGCATAAGCAGCTAGGTCTGTACCACTGAAATTAATTCAGAAGTCAGTGCACCTGCAGATCTCACATACTTTTACTTGGTGAGCACTGCAAGTTTCTTAATGCAGCTTTACACACATTTTTTTCTTTGGACTGGGTGGAGTTCAGAAAGAAGCCAAAAATGTTCTTGCTTCTGTAATTTGTTAAGATCAGTTGAATTTAATTCTTGAATGTGATGTTTTTCCATCAGCTTGTGTAAGTCTAAACACAGTTTATGTGATGTTATGGGCTCTGGCAGAGGAGCTAGAAAGGTTACAGTTTAATGGGATTTGGAAGATGGTAATCCAAACCTATTTAAAATTATTTAAAAAAAAAAAATCTACAATATTCCTTATCTTTTATAGGCATCTCTTGCCAGCTTCTCTGAAGAGTAAAGAAGCCTGAGCTGCTTTTTGATTCCTTTACTTCCAAGCATCTTTATCTTTTGGAGAGTTACCTTTCTTTGAGACCTGCTAATAATGCTCATAATGCACAAAAATACTGCCACTGCCAAGGCATAACACTAAGATTCTCAATATACACATTCACATGCTTGACATGTTTCCTGCAATATTTAAGATATTTGATAATGTTTCCACATTAATTTATAGGATCATAATTCTGCAGTCATTGTGTAAAGGTAAAATTCTGACTTCAGCATTGCGCAGGATGGAGCTCAAACTCTTTACTGTGTTGTGTACAGCAACTTTAATGGTGAAAGTGCTTTGTTGAGTACAGCATGTCCATGGGTTACTGCTTATGCAAGGAAGTTGTACTGTGGCTGCATGTACCCTAATGAGATTAGGCAATTGATTCATATAATCTCTCATTCTGTTGATTGCTTTACTGCCGGTAAAAGGGCATTTATATAACTTACCTGTACAGAAAACCACATCCCTTCTGCTTGAGAGATGAGACTGATGACAGACTGTGAATTTCCACGTGTGTTTTTGGAGCAGCAACTAGGTCTTGCCTTAATTAATACCCCGCAGCAACTTTGTTCCAGACTGCGTACTAATTTTTTATGAACAATAATGACTCCTGTATCTTCACACAAGGCATTCAGCATTTCCTTACAATACAGCTTTTCTTTGAGGAGGTATTGCTAAACCTCAACAAAGCTGGGAAGCACTCTAGAGAACTTAGCACCACTACTAGAGTGATGCCAGCTGTCAGAGAGTGAGTGGAAGGGAAAAAAACTTGGCCAATAATATTCCTTATCTTTTATCTTTTAAAGGCAACTACCAAGAAGATATCAGATGAAGACTAGAGAGAAGTGAAGGAAAAAAAAATAGTTCCTAGGAAGGAGGAGAACAGGGGACAGTAGAGAAATAGTGGAAGAAAGGCCGCTTTTTTTTTTTTGTCTTAGCACCCAAAACATCGCCACCACCATCAACAACATCAAGTCAGGCAAGTGAGTAGGAACCCGGATGTTCTCATCCATATCTGATGTGCAGTGATGAGAGGGGGAGATAAGTTGTGCAATACCTTCATCACCTGACTGTTAGTGCTGAATAACACAGATCTTACACAATCCCACTCCAGAACCTCCTCTATGCTAGACATAGAAAAGAGCAGCTGATGCCATGCTAACTAATCAGCAGAACAAGTACCATTTTCTTTCTGCTTCATGGTGTTGTCAGCAGAAGCAGCAAAACATTGCATGTTAAATCTCGCCTTCCTTGTCTGAAAGCAGTCATTTCATAGGGCAGTCCTTCTAGTGAAGAACATTTGCTGACACTATTTGTAATGAAAACAAACACAGAGAAAATTAACTAGAGCAACAGAAACATCCAAGGGCCATTGCCTTACCAAAAAAATAAAAAAAGCCATAGCTCAGGGATGACAAACTACAATTCTGCAGGCCAGATCCCACTATCAGACTGTGTCTCACTGCCCTTCTTCCCAAGGGCCCCAAAGTTTTTGCAGAAGTATACTTGTTCGACCAAAACACAGGGAGAAGACTAGTGAATCTGGTCACACAATAAGGATGATTGGCATGTCCCACCACAGGCAGGAGCATATCTAACAACAGATGACTGGATACATGAGAAACACAGACAAAATATATTTGTTTCCCATTTGTTTCACATTTCTCTCAGCAGACTGAAAGCTGAGACCCTGACAGTTTGCAGGAGAAGGATGAGGAGGACATGGAATGCGTTCCTGGGGGTTTTTTAAGTGACAAAACTATATCCATTAAACCAGTTGTTGGTGGTTTTATTCTTAAAAAAGTTTGTGGGGCCCTTAGTTTTTTAGGCTTTAGTTCAGGGGAAGCCAACTGAAAGCAGTCCAGTTCATCTTTGCTGCCTTCTGCAGATCACTTAGGATGTGGTGTTCATAGCTCTCCATATGAAAATCTCCCTTGTGTGCAGATACAACCATTGCATTATGCATTGTAGTTGTAGGTGTAACTAATGAAATCCACAAAATGTGCTTGAGAACAATTGGTCTAATGAACCTTGGTCTTTGTCCTAAATAATCAAGGAAACTTGCTTTCTCCATGTTCTTGAACAAAATCCTATTTAAGAAAAGAATTGCCTGTCTGTTCATTGAGACGCTATTTCAGATTTGGCTGAAGTATCTTGGAGGCTTCATAAACAGAAAGAAAAAGAACCTATGGATGTCTTTTTCTGAGTGGGAGCCTGCTAAGTAGATCCTGGAAATAAATGCTACAGCCAAATCTGTGAATTTAAAACAGATTATTGGCTGCTTAGAGTGAAGGCTGGCTGAGGTAAATTGTACTATCAGTCAGTTTTAATTAAGGTGTATTGAATTTCTCCAGGAGGCTAATTTATTTATTTATTTCCTACTTGGTGTAGTGTGTGGGGAACTTTTATTTCTTTTTTTGGCACAGAATTTTTACAGCTCTCTGAGCCTCTTGAGCTGGCTATTCAGCATTAGAAAGATTAAGATTAGTGCAAGTAGGAAGTTATAAAAATTACAACTACAAAAAATGCTAAATCCATGTAGTCACAAAAGAATAAGATGTTCTAGATTAATAATAAAGAATATGTGATATTCAGAGTCAGTGACAGTAAGAACCAAACCAATATGCAGAAGTAGCAGACAGCACATTTCATGATTTCATGTTTTCATTTTTAACAAATGGAGAAACTAAGGATGGAAATAAATAGTACCAGTTGCTCAAGGTGATGCAGCACATCAGTGATGAAGCTGGGAATATATTCCAGATATCCATCTACCCAAGAACGCTACTTCTGTCTGCAACCTGTGCTCGCCTGCAGTGCTCGAGCTTCTTGGGCTGCACATCTACCACAGTGCCCAAGCGCAGGCCTGCAGCACAGCCCTGCAGTGGCACGGGCATCTGGCCCTGCGAGGGATGTTTCCCATGTCTGAGATCTGTGGGTGGAGAAGGGCAGCAGGTCACCAGACTGCTATTTCTTTGAGCTCTCTGTCTCTACTTTAAGCATAACAGGTCATGAGGTTTAGGTTAGCTATTGATCGAAGGCTGCTACCTTCAGCGTGGCACATTTACCTACTTGAAATAGTGGTCCCTGCCTCACTTCTAAATGAGACCTAAGGCAGTGAACAAGAGGAAATCGTAGTACCTTGTAGCAAACGCAGAAAACACAGGCATGGCTGTGGAGCATACAAAATGAGAGCTTCACATCCAGTGCCTCAAAATTGCCATTTTGCATTTTCACCATAATTGTTTTTACATAGCTGAAGAGAGAGACTTCACCACATCTCTGAGCTTCAGCATTGGGTCAGACAGACATAGGGACAGCTTGGAGGAATAAGTGAATAGTCTACAGAGCTCAGTACAGATACTGTCAAAGTCCAGAAGTAAAGTCCAGCATTCTACAAGCGGTATGAAATGTTAAATCCATGAAAGAATCAGAAGCCCAGCATCCCTGAAGATCCAGTTATCAAATAAGGTATCACTAGTTTGATTTACAGTACTTTTTAATGGGTTGGAATACCACATTGGCCTCCCCTCAGGCAGAGAATAACACCTTCTCCATCCAATTAGTGCCAAGTGTCATCTACCTTGCTCCCAACCTTTTTTTTCTAACTTTTACATACAAAAAAACATGCAAGACATTGCTATCCCTTCTAATCTTGCCATGTTTGCTTCCTGCAGGTGAGCGGCCTTTTGAATGCAACTGGCAAGAATGTAACAAGAAGTTTGCTCGCTCCGATGAGCTGGCCCGCCATTACCGCACTCACACTGGAGAAAAGAAGTTCAGCTGTCCTCTCTGCGAGAAACGCTTCATGCGCAGCGACCACCTGACAAAGCATGCCCGTCGCCACACCAATTTCCACCCAAGCATGCTCAAGAGGCGAAGTGGAAGCAGCTCAAGAACAGGGTCTGTCAGTGACTACAGCCGCTCAGATGCCTCAAGTCCGACGATCAGTCCTGCCAGTTCCCCATAGACCTACCTGCACTGGATGTCAGCACTTTGCCTCTAGTACCTAACATGGAGTTTTGTTTGTGTTGCACACATTTAAAAAACTCTGTCGCTTCCCTGCCTCAGTTCCCCGCCCCACTTTTAAAAAAAAAAAAAAAAAATCATTAAATAGCTGTCTCCCACTGCAATTTCCAGTCTTTACCCAGCCACACAAGTGGCTATGCTAACCTCATGGACAGACAGACTTACATGTTCCATGTAGCGACTCCTGCTGTCTCGATATTTCATACATTTTGCAACCATTTACAGATCCTCTTGATTATTCTTTATAAGAAAATGAGAAAATCTAAAACAGAAAAAACCCCACTTAATTCACCTCAGGTGTCAATGTAGTTTTGTAAGTCCGGATTGCACAACATGAGCATACATACACTTACAAATCAATTGTGTTGGATTGTGTCCCCCTTCTCCTTTCTCAGGGATGGATATTTATGTTACACAATAATTACAATGAAGACACACCCTAACCACAGCCTTACTCTGTAAATATATTTGCACTCAGAAGCTTTTTGTTAGGTTCTTTCACACACTGGGGAAAAAAGAAAAAAAAACAAAACAATACAAAAACCAAACCAGTACTGGAATGTAGTACCAGACTCTTCCATTGTTTGTTTTCCTGATCATATACCTACATTGGGGAGTGTCCAAACAGGAGTCTTGTCTTTCTTCAAGCTGCCCTCTGCTTTTGGTAGCAAGCAAGCTGTCTTTTCACTTCATGCTGAAGATGCTCCAAAACCAAATTCCTATTGCAGAAATCTCTGTGAGGTTGATAAACTTGTTTGTTTGTTTCATGCTAGATAAAATGCTGAGAAAAAATTCTAAACAAGATGCCTTAAGTAAATAACCTAAATCATGAGGAAACATATTTACACTGGGTAACATTTTATTGCAAGCTGGCATGGAATCTCGGAGGTATTCTGTTGTCACTCTCTCCAAGTTTTTAAGCTCTCTGCACTGCCTGTTCAGTATGGGACCAACAGGATATTCAAATCAAACCACACTGACTTGAACTATTTTCTTTATTCTTTTTTCCTTTTATGTTTTTTAAGGAACTATGGAAATAGCATAGCTGAACCAATGCCCATCAAAACTTTTATCAAGGTACTTACCTACTGTACAGCTGTATCTGGCAAGACAAATTGGCTAAGACATAGTTTCTGTATCCTGTTGCATCACAATCATGGTTGCTGATAAAAGGAAGTGAAAATCATATGGTATCTTTTGACTGGAAAAATAAAATATGCATTTTAAAGTTGTTATAAAATAAAATGACATTGTAGCTCAGCACTACTACAAGTTTCTCAAAAATACATGTGCCAGCATAAAATAAGGTGCTCTCACTTCTGAATAGCTGTTTAATAACAAAAAAAGAATCTTGGCTACTTTTCAATAACTTTCAAATATTTGACACTAGATAGAGCACTAGGAGGTAGATTTTTATGTTTTATATGGTAGAAAATAGAGCAAAAGATCAGGAGCATTGTGATGCACTGGAGATTTCATTGGCAGCAAATACACTTTCCTTGGTTTGGCTGGGTCTGATGGTGCATATTATAAATTCAGGTCCTTTTGATTCTGGAATTTTGGGGGTTTTCTTGTTTTTGCTGTGGGGTATATGTGCAGTTAAGTGTAGCACGGGGAAAGAAAACTCTATACACCAAACCTGCCTTTTGATATCAAGTGAATGCCTCCACATTCCAAATGAACCTGTATCTTATTTGCTGCTTTGCATTGATCCAATTTTGCAAGTTCTTATTGTACTGTATATTAACTGTGAGAGGCTAGTATAGATTTCTAAGTAGTTTCATAGGTACTTCCATAGTATTTACGTTATTCCTAATACTACGCATTCTATTAGTTGTATGGATAAATACTTAAAGACACTTCAAAGTGCAGATATTTCAGTATTTTTCCCCGTTCATTCACTTCAGATTTCACCTCTATAAAAATCACAATTTTCTCCTTTTGAAGTGGAAGTCACATGAGGCACAATTCTACTGTCTCATTTCAGAGAAAATGAAAGAACATCGTGAGGGCTTTTTTTCTGAATTTGTGTGATGAGTTGCCTAACCACTGTGAGTTAGAGGAAAGCCAGATCTGTTTGCCTCCGTAGATTTCCTCTTTTTTTTTTTTTTTTCTCATCTACTGAGATACACAATTTTAACAACTTGATACAATTCAGGTAACAGGAATTCACATTCCAGTCATTTCTGTGACTGCTAAAAGTGTTCTTGTGCTGTAGTTAGTAGAGGCATTTAAAGGAATTCTACAGGTCAGCTGTGTCTTGTGCACATACTTCAAAACAAGTCATAAGCACATTTCCCATTATCATTATACCTTAATGAGGGATGGGGGGAGGGAACCAAAATCAAAAGGAGAACTAAGTATCAGCAAAAATCATAGACTTCATGTTCTAAGCTCAGTTTGTTGGAAAATCATCTTTTCCAACAAGAGCATCCTTTAATCTTTAGCAAAGGAGGAACTACTCCAATCCATTTATTTAGGGCATAACAATTCAGCATGAATCAGTAGGTGCATTACAAGCTAGTTGTTTTAATAGCCTGGAGAAAGAATATTCACACCAGGTTTTATTAGTACTGAGATTATGGGGCAACCTATTCTAGGTGACAATAACTATGTAATCTTTATCTCAAAGAGTAAATTAAGCATTTTACATATATTCCTCATAGATTACTAACAATTCTCCAAGGTTAAACAGAAAAAAAATTGGTTCAAAGTCAAATTTCCAGTTCAGCCAGTTCATCTAATGAGAAAGCTATGAGACTATATATAGCCAACAAAGCTACACTTTCAGGAAATTCTCTGAAATTTGTTGTTATAACTTTTTTTCTTTTTTTTTTTTTTTTTTACATCTTAGCTGTAAATACCTCAGCATGTGTTAGGCTGACAGTCAAATTACTGTGTTTTAAAATCCTAGCTAGAGTTTCAAATATGTCCATTAAATGTTTAATACATGATAGCTTTAGGATAAAATGATGAATTCCAAATCACTAGTAGTTTCCTAAACTGAATGTGAACAAAACTTCTCTTAATATTTTCATATAGAAAGAGGGTGTTTGGGGTTTTCTAGCATGCTAGAAAATAAGCAGAAGCACCAGCAAGGTCATAAGACTCCATTCTCATGATTGTTCCTCCTCAGTTTTGCAGATAGGAGAAGTCTGAGCAGCTCAAACTATGTTTTGAAATCTGTGTGCTTATCCAAACTAACCTCAGATTTTTACCCTTCTGCATTTTCACCCAGCGGTGTAACCTAAAACAGTCTTCTGGCGTAGCAACCAACATTGCACACTCAGGAAATAGTACTCTGGCAAGGTGCAGATTTCTTCACAGTCCTCCATCTGGAGGAGTGTGCATCTCTCCTTCTGCCTCCTCCACTCCCCATGCAATCTGTTGAGGTGAATCCCCACAAACTACAAAACTGCCCTGATTGTTTTTCTTTTAATTTCAGAATATAGTAACAGGTTTATTATAATTAAGAAAGCCCTGAAAGTTTGTTTGTTTTTCTCCAGCCATGATTCTAGCTTCCTCTCTAAGAGTTGAGCTTAACTGCCTTGCTATAGGAAATGGGTGCAAGTTAAAATCATCATTTTACTACCACCACTCAACTGAAACAGAAGACGCTTTTAGAAACTCATTCACCCCTTCCATTAACCTCATCCCATGCAAAGGCCTAAAGTGCATTAATGGCCACATGAATTCAGTTTTCATCCTGCTTCTTAGAAAGCAGGCCTGGTAAACACCCGGCAGCTAGATTTTATTGTAAGAATTGCTATACCTGCAAATTCCTGGCTTTTATTTTATATGCATAGTATCTGTTTACATAACTGCAAAGGTATATATTTATAATAAGTCATCAGAAGCCTCTGTTTAATGGTAACACCTAATTCCTGTATGTATTCTACCCTCTCTACTGCTTTAACCCTTGCAATAACTTTCAGCTATGAAAGCCACTGTACAACTTTAAAAACTCATTACCTTCTATCCAGACATTTAGCGCTTTCCGTGTTTCATGCAGCCAGGCAGTAAAAGGCTGTGTGAGGAGCTTACCTGTTTCTAGCTATTCACATTCAAAACTGCTTTTCTCCAGTTCTTTGCTATGAGTTCTAGAATTTGTATTGTGTGAAGTGCATTGCTGTTTTGGGGAACATGGTTCGTGAAGAAAGAATAAGAAAAATGAACTCTACATACCTAAAGCTTGCCTTTTCATTGCCATTTGACTTACTGATTTCATCAGGTGATGCCTACAAACTGACTTTCAGTGCTCTTTTACTCCATCACGCCATCTGTTTGTGCATTGGGTGCTAACACATCATCTATGTCAGTGAATGGTATGATGAACGTCTGTATTTTTAAATCTTTTGGGGATAAAGCTATAGCCTTAGGCAGAAGAAAATAAATGAATTATACTTGTTTACCCCATAAGCCAGAATATGGAATGCAAAAGCCCATCCACTGGTATAGGTTTTATATATATAT